CAGATATAAAGGCATGTTCCCACCTCTGTTATTCAAATTATGTAAGGAGTAGTTTAAGATAATAAAGTTATTTGGATAGTCATATTCTAGGGTAACTCATTATTGCAATTCGGTTTTCTAGGTAAAAAGAAAAGCTGTAACGTCTCCCACACAAATATTGTTCACTAATTAATGGAACATCAGTACAATACGGGTTACAATTTCTCCTGTGGAGTGACACCTTTTTGTACCCCGTTGAAGGAGGCATTATCATATAGGAGTATTACTATTTCTGCTCTCCAATCCTCCTCTCCCCTCTCAAAAAGTGATAAATCGAAAAAGAAAAAGAGACAAAAAAATAATAATTATCTAACTAGCTGAAACGTAACTCGAAAGTGGGCGAATGAAACAAAACCAAAAAAAAAAAAAAGGGACCTGCTCGGCTTTGATCTAGTGTTGCTGCATGTATCATTGGGGTAGCATTGCTAAACAAGGCAATTTCAGCAATAAACATGCATGATTTCGTAAAAAACATGACATAAGTATATAATTAAGAATAACTTTTAGATGAAACGATGACTGTNCTAACTATCATATTTTGCAATTTCAATTTAGCAATTCGAGAAACCTCTAAAAATTTACATGATCTCTTATTTTTCCACGTTTAGCTGTAAGATTGGAAAAGAAAAATGAAAATCCAACCCAATATGATCCATAACCATCTCTAAGTAGTCTCAATTCTGAAAGGGACTCTAAAGGAAAAGAAAGGAAACAAAAAGGGGAAACGAAAAGTAAAACAAAGAAATTCAGTATACGAAGTTGGGTAGATTTCGACAAACACAAAAATCTGCTTGAAGCTTTATTGTCTGTTTTACTTAGTCAACATCTGTTTCTAAGTCAATTTATTGCCAGTTTCCACGATAAGCAGAGTGATTGACAACTAGAAGGAAAACACAAGAAACAAGCATTGTCAAAGTGTTCCATGGAAAGGGCATAAATAATACTTCAGTATTCCAGATATTAGCTCCAGTAGGTAGCCACTCCCTTCTTAAAGAAATGTACGTGACGCTTTTGCCGATCATACGCAAAGGCGGATCCAGAGTTTAGAGGCTACGGGTGTCACTCTTTATGTATATCGTATATATATATATACCTCTAGCCATAACGACCTAATGAAAAGGCCAGGTCGATTCAATTAGGATTTCGTTACTCTGATTACGTTGATTAAGTCTTTTATTCACATACATAAAAAAATATGTTCGATTTTGTCTAGTTATCTTTTTTTTCAAGCTTAAATTTAAATTATATTATGAAAGAAATTGCCCAAAAAAAAAAAATTTAATGAAAGAGCACCTCCAATTATAAAATTTGCTTTAAAAATTGCTTATCTTCTACAAATTGTTTGTTTAACTAGATTAATTTACCTTCCGTATTCTTGAGTTCATTTTATCATCTTAATTCCTAAGTTTGTATTGCAATTCTTTGCAAAGCAAAAGCTTCAAATTGAGAATCAACTCAAAAATGCCTACAAGCCATTTATTTTTCTTAAAAGTTAATAGAAGAGAGTCATATTGCTCAATTATATTCCAATATATATATAGATTAATGTTGCGTCATCTAAAAAAAAGAGATACTATATTAACTAAAATTAATTCAAACGACTTATCGAAAGAAATTGCTTTTGAAGTAAGTATGCTGGTACGGGAAAAAAGAAAGATTAATGCAAAGATATTTTTTTAAGAAAGGAAGAAGCAGAAACGAAAAAAATAATAAGAAGAAGAATAACAAGAAAGAGGGAGATATAGCAAATAAAAGGAATAAAAAACAGACTTCTTAACAAGAAAGAGGGAGATATAGCAAATAAAAGGAATAAAAAACAGAGGTGAGGCCTAGAGCTCAACGGAGGAAAAAGGAATAAACAACAATAGGAACAAGGATAATGAAAAGCAACAGCAGCAACCAGAGCATTAATAGCCTCCCACAAGATTCGAACACGAGTTCTTTAGGAATCAAAAGACTTCAAAGCCTTTGTTGAACCAGTGACAACCCACGTCTCAGTTTTTGTATTGAGGGTGACATTTAATAAATATATACGTTTTGATCTTGATACATAGATACATTTCCAAAATTTTAGCCGAAGCGTGCGGGCGCCGCACCACCCCTACCTCTCAAGGTAGTTACGGCTCCGTCCGAGCTTCCGTCGTTGGCCATGGAATTAAACCACTATCTATCCACGTATTTCAGCCTGGACTAACGAATCTTTTGCTACTCGGGTAGTGTCGAACAATGATCATACCATTCTGCCATATTATTTTTAGAATTTCAATCGAAGGAGTGAGCGAGCTTTCAACCGGACCAGGAGGATTGCGTGGTTAAATATTTAAAGCTTGTCTGAAGTGTATGACAAGAGTGAGTTACTTTAGTGGTAAACACCCTTCACTTTCAACCAAGAGGTTGTGAGTTTGAGTCACCCCAAGAGCAAGGTGGGGAGTTCTTGAAGGGAGGGAGCCGAGGGTCTATCGGAAACAACCTCTCTACCCCAGGGTAGGGGTAAGATCTGCATACACACTATCCTCCTCAGACCCCACTAGTGGGATTATACTGGATTGTTATTGTTGTTGTTGTTTGAAGTGTATATATTTTAAATAAAAAAATATTTTTCAAGTAAAATTATGTCTAGAATTTCAATTTCATAATACTGTTTTTCAACTTTGATTACGGACACTCTTTTTTCCTTTCCTTTTTAACCAAATATTTTCCAAATGCTTACTTTAAGACTTTGAACTGAGACAAAGCATGCCAAAATAGAAGTCATGTTGATGGTGCACAACGCATGCTAGTTAACACATTGGCCCACTATAGCATTTCGTCTACTTTGCCTTGCTATTTTCTACTACATGTCATTTTATATGCTTTCTCTTTTTCAAGATCAATCCAATTTTCCATTAAGACCATTATAAAATCCATGTCTCGATTGGTCAATTTACGTACCATTGTCATACACCTGTCACTTCCTTTCTGTTTTATTCCGTTGCATGAACAGTTCCTGAAATAAGAAATTTAATTGAAAAAAAAAAGAAGAACAAAACGTTATGTACTTTAATTCAATTTCCAGGTAGAATCTTTGGATTTATTCTAAATTAGACGGTACAGATGTAACCAACTCAATCGAGGATAGATAATTTGACTTCCAAAATTAGAAAGGTGTAAGACATTACATGACAAAGTTTCGCCTAAATTGTTCTGAAAATAATTGTACCATATGAAATGATAAAAGTGAAAAATGAGAATGTATGTCTTGTTACGTCCGGTTTGTTGGATAAGTTGTAACTGTATTATTAGTAGTTTGTCAAAGTGAACCTCTGCAAAAGGAAAACATGCCAATAACCAGTTTATGAAAAACACAGTAGCAGCTGTAGTACCCTTCTGTTTTGGGAGCTAGTGAATAGAAAAGATCATTATTATATATGACTCTAAAGCTGAAGTTTGACGCCTAGCTCCTTAATTTATTTCAGGTCTTGGAGTATCATTACTTGAAAGATTTCACTATTTAATTTAGTTTATCTCCAGAAATTTCTGATTTAATGTACTCCTAAAAATGAGGGTCAACCGAAAGTTGGAGTGGGAGTTTCCAATTTCCATTTAATTTAATGACTTGGGGCCAGAGGGGTTGCTGTTTACCACTTTTAATCCCTTTGGATTTGCTTTTGAATTTGTCTGACGTACTCTAATGGTTAAAAATATCAAAACTAGCAGAGAATTAGTTAATTAACTTGTACATGCGTTATCTTTGGATTTAATTTATATATACGGATAATATAAATGATTTTTAAGTCTACCCGTGTATTCTAACTTTGATTAATATAGTACGTAAGTTATTTGCTTTGCATACTATTTTAGCAAGTATACTATAGAAAGGAACACTTTGTAGGTCACTTTAGCAAGATGGTAAAATAATTTTACATCGTCAGCATATATATATATATATATATATATATATATATATATATATATATATATATATATATATATATATATATATATATATATAGCTCTTATTTAGTTATTTCTTGGTTACTAATTCTACTTATTATTTAATAAAAAATACTTATTATGAATATTTACTTGCATGTAGTTAAATATCTTTTACATGACCCAATAATGCAAATTTTTAAAAGGTTATATTTGGTGTGAGCAAAAGTTTTTTGTGAAAATGTTTTGTTTGATTTGAATCACACTCAGATCAACTCATTTGTTTCGCCGTCTCTATATATGCCTGATGTACCGGCTTCAGATACGTTGACTCCTGCAGAAAATGATTATATAACTAGTAGTTTTCTTTATACAATTTTTTTTATAGGAGATACGATTGGCTTAAAACAGACAAAAACTGATCGATTTTAAGTTGAACCTATTCAGACATTTCCAAATACAATAAGAATGAGAATGAAAGTTGGTTAAGTGTTTAAGCTGCCTCAACACGACTCAATTTGAAAGCGATATCAACATAAAATATACTATATTTTGTCTTGCATCCATTTGATGTTAACTTCGGCTGTGTCACACTTTGATTTACGCTAATGCAATTGAAGCGAATTTAAGTTAGTTCAAGCTAAGGATGGGATGGTAGCAAAAGTTTCATATGTGGCCACCTAGTCAAGTTTCATATTCGTGAAACACCATATATATATATATGTGTATAACTCTTACGTTACCCGATGTATTTTAACGTAATGTACTTTAACATGTTGTCGCAGGTAGCTTATTTCTTTTATTTTTTAGGTTACTAACTTCACTTTTAAGAAATGATATGCAATCATCCTTTAAGTAATCTAATATTACTCTCTCGTATATAGTGTATAGAATTTGAATTCTTTTGGATAATCTGTTGGAGGGTCTAAATTTCATAGAAAATTGACCAAGTTGAAGATTCTCGGAGAAACCCCATATATTATACTGATGAAGAGAACTAGAAGATATAGAATACCAATATGCAAGGTAAATTAAGTAAAATATTAGCGTTTGACGTCAAAAGTAAGGTTAAATTAAATACGAAATTCACCATCACATGTGCATTTGTAAAGTCTTTTATTAAATGCAATTCTTCCTCTAGCTGCTAGTTTCGTCAAAAGAAATTCCTGGAACGTCGTCGCGATACTTGCCAACTCCACTGGAATGGATTCTCTTCACCATTTCACAAATAATAATAACTTTTACTTACATGATATATATATATGTATATATAATAATTTCATAGTCTACTCAGTCATCCCTGAGAAAAGTATATATCTTTTCTCCTTTCTTTTTGGTGCTATAGCTGCTGATCATTTGTCAAATATGCAAACGCCAATATCACAGCCATCAGAGCTTGAACTCAAAATCTCATTCAGTTTTGGCCCTTCTTCTCTATCACTCAGCAATAGCAACATTCCCAAATCTGAATAATTGTGAGCTTCTTCTTCAAAACTAGAAAGTAGCCCATGATTTGTTTCATATGTTCTCTCTTGTTCATGATTATCATGACTCAATTGAGAAGCTACAAATTTGTCAAGTGCCCTCCAATCTGCTGTTACATTTTTGCTAGTACTACTATTAATAGTACTACATCTTTTATTTATCGTCTGTTCATCGTCCTCTTGATTACTATTCTCGGACACCAGTGACATGGAGCTAATTGGCCTTTTTATGAGTGGTAGAGAGGGACTTTGTAGCTGTGGAAGCTGTACAAATTGATCAGAATTATATGGAAAGTTGAGATTATTGTTTTCGGCTAATTCCATCTCTTGTTTGCACAGTAGATTTTGTGCCATGAAATTTGGAGGAAGAGGCTGCCTTGTGATGTATTCAAGAGGATCTACCACTAAGCTGACTGCAGTAGTTGCTTCTTCATAAAAGTAATTTGATTCCCAACCTTCACCCATATTGGTCTTTGTTTGCCCTGTAATTTTCTTCTTAAATGCTCTACAGACCACCCATCCTTCTTCCTGCAATAGTTTTGCAAAGTACATTAATTAGGACTTAATTTAAATAGAGTGTACAATTTTTTTTATGTTATTAGTGTATTTTTTTTTTGGTAAGTAAAAGATGTTATTAATGTATTTTAATTTGTTGTACGCAGTAACAAGTAATATGCCTTATTTATTAAGGTGCTAATCCCATCTTTTATGGATGATTACTAATCAACAGGATATAAAAGTTAAACTCAAGTTATTATACTATTAGTCATGATCATTTTAATTTTCTTCACTGTGATTTCTTTTTGACTTGGTAAAGAAAGTTGGTAAAGTTTATGTACGTTAGGGAAGGAACATTTTCTTTGTCCTTCTTTTAGTTTAATGGAGTGCATGTCTAAATTGTGTATTTAAGGAATAAGAAGATAGTCAAAGGGATTGTAGTTAAGTAGATAATTGGAATATCTCTTTTGGAAGGGCGGAACGAGTGAGAAAACTCAATGACGACCACAGAAAAAGAACTCATAAGGAATTAAAGCACACTTGGTTTGCTTCAAAATTATGATGTCTTTTGACTTACAAGGCGCTGAAAATCATCTTCATGTTGCATGAATAGTTAGATTGCTAAATAAAAAAGAGTGTGCATGCAAAGAACTAGTGGAGTACTATATTTTCTTTATAAATTTTTCTTTCTATCTAAAGAGGTTGTTCAAATTTCCTATTTCTGAGATATTCCGTAAAGGGACTACAGAGATATATAGAGAGACTTTATATTAATTTGCATTAATTTCCAGAGATCCAGCAGGTGTCTTTGGAAAGATATATATGAAGAAATTAAAACTGGAAATATATAGAAGCAATAAATTGAGTACTACTTGCCTGTGGAGGACCATTGTCTTCGGATTCGAGACGATATTCGTGCATAATCCAATCAGTTTTCTGGCCATTAGGTGCCCTACCCTTGTAGAAGACAAGGGTTTTCCTCATACCTATAAGTTTCAATTTATCGTACACAGCCTTGTCTCTTCCTGTAGCCTTCCAAAACCCTGCCATTGTTGCCCTATTCGTTCTCGTCCCTGTTGGATATTTCTTATCCTTGTGACTGAAGAAATACCACTCGTTCTGCTCTTCATATCCGATCCGGCATTTATCTGAAAAATAGTTCTAAATATCAATTTTCATTGAACTGTTTAAGCTGTTAGAGAAAAGAACTAACTATTCTAGATTTGTTGTGTAAGAAACCCTAGTAAACGCGAAAAGAAGACCATACCTCGCAGATCCCATGGTTCGATTCTGTAAAGATCAATGTCTCTAATAACATCAAGATCAATCTTTTGTGATGCAATTTTCTTTCTAAGATAGTATCCGACGAGTTCTTCATCTGTTGGATGAAATCGAAATCCAGGTGGAACGCATGATTCGTTTGTATCCATATTCACCACTACTGTGTTTATTTTAGTCTGCATAAAATTCAGCACCAATTGAGACAAGATCAACACATTAATTGCACCTCTTTTACTCCATCACCTTTATATGATATCCAATAAATGGGGCATGAAACAAATACAGTAGCCATATTAATAAGATCTATGAAAAGCTAAAAAGCTGAAGTAAGTGTATTATGAACCCTACAAATGAAAAGGTGGCAAGTGTTTTCAGATATAATCATCAAGCCATTTGGTGGTAAGCAACACTCAAGAGTTAATTCCATCTCTAGAAGTTTATACTAATGAGCGCGTGTTAATCTAAAACCTATTTTATTTTCTCTTTCCTTTTTTTTGTCCTCAAGTTTTTTTCTGCGTGCGATATGATTTTAATTTAGTTTAATGGTGGGGTTAAAGAGGAAGAGATGAAAAGGAAAGAAAACCAAATGATGAGGGCTTTGCTGTCGAGGAAAACTAAGGGGGAGAGTCAGCCCTTTAGACCCCTAATAGTCTCTTTGGTATTTTTCACGTCTGATAATTGAAGGAAACGGGACAAGTAAAAGTTTGTGCTAATGATGGTGTCTTGTGTAGTTGAATATACTGAATGATGGATCGAGAACGGACTCTCAGCTCTATATTATAAACAATCCACCATTAATTACCTACAAAATAGTCCTCATCGATCAGAGGACAAATAAAAAGAAAAACAATAATTTTACAAATGCATATACTAACACGTTAAATTATGTATGTCGTGTGGTTAAATATTCAAAATTGTTTGACTATGAGAAAATGTCATTAAATATAAAATGAAAAAATTAAAATTATTAAAATGTTCCTAAACAAAGTATACCTCATTTTTAATTTATGTGAACCTATTTGACGGGCATGAAGCTTAAGAAAATAGAAAAGATCTTTGAACTTGTGGTATAAAATGAGGCACATGTATTTTGTGTGGCTATAGATCATTGTATAAAGGTAAATTATTTTCAAATATGAAAAGTGATCATATTTTTTTGTACAGACTAAAAACGAAATAGGTTTAAATAAATGAGAGAGTATTAAAAAGGCATTGTTCTTTTAGAAAAGGTTTTTAAAAAAGTGTCGTTAAAATGAAACAGATCTTTAGAGAGTATATATTTTAGTGGTTAAACAGTCAAAAAAGTGTTTGTTGTCTGGCTTGCCTTAAAGAAGGTTGAGGGATGAGACGGGGGGTATGGGAAGATGACGTTAAACAAATTTAGGCACGCTTTGGTCTGAAAGGAGAAAAGTAGGAGGCAAAAACAAATACAGGGCATGTTTTATTGGATATTCAAGCCTGCCATAAAAGGGCATGTAAAGAAAGGGAAAAGGAAACGAAAACCGAAGAAAATTTTAAACGTTTAAAGGAGGTGACCAATAATGTATGATCCCAGAGATGAACTAATCTGAACTACTTTGTCTCTTTGTCTAGAATGAACTTGACACTTTTCTGACTCATTTCTTGATAGGTGCACAGTGCGTTGGACCATTCCTTGTCAACAGATCGATTAATACGCAGCATAATGTAATGGAAGAGATAAGGTTCTTATTTTATCTCAACTCTGAGATTACTGGGGGAAACACTTCCTGCGCGCAGAGTTACTTTGGTTTCACAAAATTAATCAAACAACACAAGAACATGCGTGCAAAAACTCCGACGACTCAAAATACACAAAAACAAACACAATATCTCATTGATATGATATGGGAAAAACGCAAAATTAGGAGACCATGGCTTTGATGAGATGCAAGATAAAGGCCTCTTTATACGAAATATACGTAGTTGATAGCAAATTAGTCTGGACACCGCTGTTAAAAGAAGAAAGAATAGAAAGATGAGGGGCTAGCTCTGTGAATATGTGAAGCATATATTTCATATATATATATATATA